TAGAAGGGATATATGCACCCCTGTGTTCATAGCAGCACAATTTACAATAGCTAAGATTTGGAAACAGCCTAAGTGCCCATTAGCAGATGAGTGGATTAAAAAAAAAACACCCTATGGTACATCTACACAATCTAATACTATGCTGTTATAAAAAAGGAGTTCTTACCATTTGCAGCAGCATGTATGGAACTGGAGAACATTATACTAAGTGAAATAAGCCAGGCAGAGAAAGATAAATCACATGATCTCATTCATTTGTGGAATATAATGAACAACATAAACTGATAAACAAAAATAGATCCAGAGACAGAGACACATCAATCAGACCATTAAACCTCAGAGGGAATGTAGGGAATGGTGGGAGTAAAGGGGAGAGATCAACCAAAGATGCATATAAGCCTAACAAATGGACACAGACAACAGGGGGATGAGGGCATGATGGTGGGGGGAGGGTATAGGGGGTGTGGGGGAATAAGTACACATGTAACACTGTAATCAATAAAGAAATTAAAAAAAATTAAGAATGGGCCTTTCTTCCCTTGGTACTGGCACTGCCATCGCTCCCTGCTGAAGCCACCTTTTTGCTCCAGCCCAGAGCCACCTTTCCTCCTTCCCATGCTTCCCAGAGGCCAGAAGTGGCTGGGGTGGTGTTAAATGCCTGTGTCATTGACAAGCAAGCATCATAGCCCACCCCTGGCTGCCAGGCACCTGTGTATGCAAATTAACCCACCATTTTTGTTGGTTTAAGTTATATCCTCACTCTTGATTGGCAGTCAATGTCATGAAGGTGCCATCAGTTTGCATATTGCTTTTATTTGTATAGATAATAAAGAAGTAATATGCAAATTGACCATCACTCCAACGTGCAAGATGGCCACCCTCATGTGGTCAAAGATGGCTGCCCCCATGTGGACACAGGATGGCCACCACAAGATGGCTGGCAGGAGAGAGTAGTTGTTGGCAATCAGGCCAGCAAGGGAGGGCTGTTGGGATGACCAGGCCTAAAAGGGAAGGCAGTAAGAGGTGACCTTACCAGCAGACAAGGGCAGTTGGGGTCAACCCAGCCTGCAGAGGATGACAGTTGGGGGGAACTAGGCCTGCAGGGAGGGCAGATGGAAGCAACTAGGAATGCAGAAGAGGGCAGTTGGAGGGACAAGCCTGAAGAGGATGGCAGTTTGGGGGAACCAGGCCTGCAAGAGAGGGCAGATAGGAGTGATCAAGCCAATAGGGGAAGGCAGTCAGTGGAGGGCAGTTGGGGGGACCAAGTCTGCATGGGAGGGCAGTTAGGGGGACCAGGCTGGCATGGGAGGGCAGCTAGGGGTGACCAGGCCAGCAGGGGAGCAGTTAGGTGTCTTACAGGCTGGCAGGGGAGTGGTTAGGAGGTGATCAGGCTGGCAGGCAGAAGCAGTTAAGGGCAATCAGGAAGGCAGGCAGGCGAGTGGTTGGGAGCTAGTAGTTCTTGATTGTGAGAGGGATATCTGACTTCCCTTTTAGGCCTGATCCTAGTGGATCAAGCTTAAATAGGCTTTTGGACATTCCTCGAGGTCTCAGATTGGTGAGAATGATGGCTAGGCTGAGGGACACATGCTCTTCCCTGTGCACGAATTTTGTGCACTAGGCCACTGGTGTGTTTAATAATTCTTTATGAACAAAATTCCAAAAGGGTGGGCTTAAAGTATTAGGTAGACTGTTCACTGTGAACTTTTGAGAACCAGAACAATATTACCTTAGGCCTTTTCTCCTTCATGTAAAAGGTGCGATAAGTTTTGATGATCTTCGAACTGTAGGAGGTATAATTTATCATACATTTCATGAAGCTGCTAAACACCAAGTATTACTACTTAATGACATTATCTGGAAAGAGATGATTGACAATGCAATCATCCTTAATATGCCCAAACAACTATGGCAACTTTTTGCATACATATGTGTGTTTGGATGTCCTTCTGCTGCAGACAATTTTTGAATGAGAATAAATCTCATTTTATTGAAGATTTCTGTTGAAAATTACACCAAAGAGAAGGTGCCTGTGTAACCTGTGAATTGTATGCCCTTAATGAAATTCAAGAGGTATTCACATTGCATGGAATGAAATGTCCACATTTAAAACTCCCAGACTATCCTTTATTAATAAATGCAAATAAATCTGATGAATTGTACGAGCAACAACAGGCAGAGGTTTTGATAAATTCTATGAATAATGAAAAGTTGGCAGCCTTTCAGACTATTACTTCAGCCATCGAAGATCAAACTGTATATCCCAAATGCTTTTTCCTTGGATGGTCCAGGTGGTAGTGGGAAACCTATCTGTATAAAGTTTTAATACATTATATTAGAAGTCATGGTGGTATTGTTTTACCCTCAGCATCTACAGGAATTGCTGCAAATTTACTTTTTGGAGGAAGAATTTTCATTCCCAATATAAATGACCAATTCCATTAAATGGAACTTCAATTTCTAGACTCAATATAAAGAATAAAGTTGCTAAAACCATTAAAAAGGCCCAGCTTCTTATTATTGATGAATGCACCATGACATGCAGACATGCTTTAAACACCATAGACAGATTACTAAGAGAAATTAGAAATTTGAATGTTGCATTTGGTAGGAAAGTACTCCTTCTTGGAGGAAACTTTCAACAATGTCTGTGTTGTGCCGCATAATATGCTATCAGCTATAGTACAAACAAGTTTAAAGTACTGTAGTGTTTGAGAATGTTTCAAAAGTTGTTTCTTAAAACAAATATGAGATAAGGGGATTCTACTTATAATGAACTAGAGGCCTGGTGCATAAATTTGTGCACTGGGGGTGGGGTGGGGAGGTGTCGCTCAGCCCAACCTGCACCCTCTCCAATCTTGGACCCCTCAGGAGATGTCCAACTGCCTGATTAGGGATTGGGCTTACACAGGCAGTCAGACATCTCTTTCATAATTCGGGACTACTGGCTCCCAACTGCTTGCCTGATTGCCCCTAACCACTCCCCTGCCAGTCTGATCGTCCCCAACTGCCCTACCCTGACAGCCCGGTCACCAAACTGTTCCCTTGCCAGCCTGATTGTCCCCAAATGCCCTTCCCTGCATATTCCCTCTTTATTAGATAGGGTTTTTTCTTTGACATATGTAAACTCCATAAACAAGAATTTCATGAGACCTTGAAAAGGTGATATCATGTAGTTGTTTCTTCCTTCTCTTTCTTTTTCTTGATGTTTCATCTTTTGACATTTCTTTCTTTTCTCCTTTTATTCCTTTACTGTCTTCTCTTTCTCTTAATTTTTCCATTGGTAGAATCATCAATACTTGAATCTGTCTCGATTCCAGAAGACAAAGAAGAGGGAAACACACAGTAATCTGAAGAAAAAGATGATCTATGTTGGGATTGGTGGTGTTTCTGGTTTTGCTCTTTTCTGGGTTTGTCATTTCTGCCACCCTGGCATCTTCAGTGTGGGCACTTCTTATTCATGTCTACAAAACCTCCCTGCCTTGGTGAAAAATGTAAGGGAAAAGGCCTTCCTGGATGGGCTCAAGCCCTGCTTAAGGTGTGGAGCACCCGCCCCTTTGCAGTACCAACCTCCAGATCTCTGGGTATTTTCCAGTAATGTAACTGCAGTGTCCCCATTTGCCTTCACAAATTAGTTGTAAGTTACTTCTGATGTGCAACCATACCTCAGACATTTCCTTTGTGGGTTTCTAAAGATTTTAAACAAAACCCATTTACCTCCCTAACCTGGTCAGAAGTTTCTATCCAATGGGAGAGGTTTGCTGGGCAGCATCACCCAGATATCTCCTCCCCGCCCACACACACACCCCAATCTCCAATCACTTGGGTGGGGACAAGAGAAGTTCTGAGGCTATAGGTGTGTGTGGGGGGGATCACTCCATGGGAGCGCAGGCCCTTTGGAGGCTGATACCCCAAGCTGCTGCTGGGAGGGGATCATTCTGGGGGATGCGGCTGCCTCCCAAGCATACACACTGGCTGCAGCTGGGAGCTGTTCAATAGGGGAGAGGGGATGAGGCGCAGATGCCTCCCAGATCCACAACCCTGGATGGGCCAGGCCAAGAGGTGCACAGATGCCTCCCAGCTGATAGGCCTCAGCCCTGGCAGCAGCTGAAAGCAGAGCATGCAGAGAGGGGCGGAGATGACTCCCAGCCTACAGGCCTATGGCCCGGTCCACAGCTGGGAGCAGATCGCACAGAGAGGAGTGCAGGCTGAAAGCAAACCGTGCCAATAAGAGCATGGGCACCTCCCAGCTGACAGGCCTATAGCCCTGGCCACAGCTGAGATTGAGTTGAGAGGGGCCCAGGCGCTTCCCATTTCACAGGCCTCGGCCCTGGTGGTTGCTGAAAGTGGAGCAAGTGGAGAGGGGCACGGCTGCCTCCCAGGCCCACAGCCAGGCCACTGCTGAAAGCAGAACATGCTGAGAGGGGAGCAGGCATCACCCAGCCAACAGGCCTACAGCCCAAGTCACAATTGGGAGCAGATCGTGTCTCCCAGGCCTACAGCCTGGGCCATGCTGCCAGCTCTCATCAGCAGCCCTCCCTGGAACTGGGGTTCTTTGGCCGGCCTGAGAGGACTGGGTGCTGCCATCTTGTGTCTATGGGTGCCACCATTTTGTCACAGGGTGACGGTTACTTTGCATGTTACTCTATTATTAGATAGGATGGTTAGTAAAACTTGGAGACTGCAAACTTGTTAGCAGTTTTCATTTAGGAATGGATATTATTGAAATTCCTCATGAAATAATTTGTAACCAATCTGTTCTTGAAGCTACCTTTGGAAATAGTATATCTATAGGTAATATTAAAAATATATCTAAATGTGCACATTCAAAAATTAAATGAAGACATTTTGGATATACTTGATGGAGATTTTCACACCTATTTATTTGAGTGATGATTCCATTCTCTCAACAGATGATGCTAAAAGGAAAATTTTCCCATAGAACTTATTAATAGTATTACTCCATTGGGAATGCCATGTCATAAATTAAAATTGAAAGTCAGTGCAATCATCATGGTATTGAGAAATATTAATAGTAAATTGGGGTCTTTGTAATGGTACTAGATTTATTATCAAAAGATTATGACCTAACATAATTGAAGCTGAAGTATTAGCAGGATCTGCAGAGGGAGAGGTTGTTCTGATTTCAAGAATTGATTTGTCCCATCTGACACTGGCCTCCCATTTAAATTAATTCAACGATAGTTTCTCAAGATGCCAGAATTTGTGATGACTATTAATAAATCACAAAGACAAACTCTAAAAAGAGTAGGAATATTCTGACCTGAACCAGTTTTTGCACATGGTCAGTTATATGTTGCTTTCTCTTAGTTCAAAGAGCATGTGACTTTAAGGTTAAAGTTGTAAATACTTCATCCCAAGGGAAATTAGTCAAGCACTCTGAAAGTGTTTTCACTCTAAATGTGGTATACAGGGAGATATTTGAATAAGTTTAATCACTTTATCAGTTATTGTTTGCATCAATGTTGTTTTTATATCATGTTTTTTTGCTATTTTTATATCATGTGTTTGTTTTTATATCATTTTGTCATTGTTTATACTATCTAATACAGAAGGAATATGCTAATTGACAATCACTCCATCACATAGATGGCTGCACCCATAATGGAAGCCACGTTCTCAAAAGGAGCCTTAACGGGTAATCAGCTGGGACCTGAGGCTATGCCCTCCTCCACCCCTGTAGGACTTGACAGGGGACCTCAGGCCACAGCCCCCACACTGGCATCAGGCTGGGGAACCTTGGGCCATGCCCCCCACACTGGCACCAGGCCAAGGGATCTGAGGCCATGCTTGATGGGGAACCTCGAGTTGCGCTTCCTATCCTGGTGCTGGGCTAGGGGTCCTCAGGCTGCCCTCCTGGGGGACCTCAGGCCATGCCCCCCACCCGGCGGGGCTTGACCTCAAGATGCACCCCCAGTGCTGGTTCAGGGGAACTCAGGCCATGCCCCCCACCCCAGAACCAGGCTGGGGGACTTCAGACCGAAACCCCTGCCCAACAGGGCCTGATAGGGGACCTCAGGCTGCGCCCCTGCCCCAGCACTGGGTCAGGGGACCTGAGGCTGCATCCCCCTGCCTGACAGGGCTTGACAGGAGACCTCAGGCTGTGCTCCCCACCCAGCAGGGCTTGGCGGAGAACCTCAAAGTGCACCTCCAGTGCTGTGTTGGGAGAACTCAGGCCATGCCCCCTGCCTAGCGGGGCTTGATGGGGGACCTGGGCTGTGCCCCTCTCCTGGTGCCAGGCTGGGTGACGTTAGGCTGTGCACCCCCCCCCCCCACCTGGTGGGGCTTAAAGGGGGACCTCAGGCCATGTCTCCCACCCAGTGGGGCTTGACAGGGTATCTCAGGCCATTTCCCTACCTGGCAGTGCTTGGTGGGGGACCTCAAGGCATGCCCACTTCTCCAGTCTACACTGTGGGACCTCAGGCCACACACCCCGTCTTGAAACCAAGCCAGGGGACCTGAGGCTATGACCCCTGTCTGGGAGGGCTTGACAAAGGTGGGACTGGTCAGGTCTGAGTCTAGCCCAAAGGGAGGAACCGGCTGGGTCTGGGTCTCATGCGATTTTGAGGTGCATGTGGGTGAGCAGAGACTTGACTCTGGGTCCTGTGGTGCACCCCAGGAGCAAGGTTTTCATATACATTTTACTAATTTTCTTTTATCTCTGACTCTTCTATTATAGAGAAATAGCAAATAGCAATATTAAATTATTTCCTCTAATTAATCCCCTTTTATTATGCACAAATTTCATGCACCACGCCACTAGTTTATTAATAAAATCATGTGTTATTTTCATATACATTTTACTCATTTCCTTTCATCTCGCACACTTCTATTGTAGAGAAAGAGCAAATAGCAATATTAAAATATTTCCTCTAATTAATTCCCTTTTATTGTGTATGAATTTTGTGCACCAGGCCACTAGTCCTATATAATAACGATATAATATGCAAATGACTGTTACACCATGAAGCATAATGACTGGGTCACAGATCAGCAGGAGGGTGGGGCAGCTAGCTACAAGCAGGTGGCAGAGAGCTACAGGAGGGGGTAGAGCAGCAAGCTATGATGGGGGAGGGAGCTAGAGGAGGTTGGGGCAGCAGTCAGAGAGTGGAAGTGATCTACTGGCTACAAGCAAGCGTTGGAGAGCTACAAGAGTGGTCAAGATAGCAAGCTATGAGGGGGTGGGGACTGAGGGGAGGGGGGCAGGGGGGCTACAGGAGGGTGGGACAGTGGGCAGAGAGCTACTGTAGGGTGGCAGTGAGCTACTGGCACACGGATTCTTGTACATGGCTACTAGTAGTACATGATTATATAAAAAACATTTCAAATTATGCCTTTCTCTCTTGAATCCTCACTCTGGTGGGAAATCAGTTGCCCTGTCCTGAAGACACTCAAGCAGTCATGTGGAGGTTATGTGACAAATAATTGAGGCTTCTTTCCAAAAGCCAGCAGCAACTTTTGCCATGGGAGTGAGGCCTTTGGCCACCATAGTCTCAGTTTAAGTCTTGACTGCAGCTTAATGAGGGACAGGGACATGCAATGAAGCCACTCTCAAATTCCTGATCCACAGAAATCAGGAGAATTAAATTATATCATATGTTTCATCTCAAATTTTTCAATAATTTTTTATGTAGCAATAGATAATTTAAACTAAAACTATCTGAACAGACAAAAAGAAGTTTGTAGCCATCTATACCCTTAAGCACACTTTTTTCCTACCAGAGTAGAGTCCTTGCTTAATGATAATGGCTCTAGAATATCCGAGTTTTGCTGTCCTGGTCTCAGCACATATACCATATTTTCTGGCGTATAAGACAACCCCCTAATTTTACAGTTAAATAATAGGTTTAGGCCTATATTCGCTGTATAAGACTACCCCCCACTTCTGAGGCAACACCAGTTCTTTTTTTAATAGACCTCCTCTCTGACTCTGGCCAATCTGAGCAGGCTTTTTTTCATTTCAAGAGGCCCGGTGCACTAAATTCAAGCATGGGTAGGGTCCCCAGGCCTGGCCGGTGATCAGGAATTATTGGGGCCTTCAGGCTGCCAGCCAGAGCCTTCCTTCCAGCTGCTGGCTACTGGCAGGGGCCTTCCTTCCCCCAGCTGCCAGCTCTGGACTAGGGCCTTCCTTCATTCCGCACCGCCCCTGGTGATCAGCTCACATCATAGTGAGTGATCGAACTCTGGTCTCCTGCTAGAATTCCTGAGGGGACACTTTGCATATTATCTATCTATCTATCTATCTATCTATCTATCTATCTATCTATCTATCTGGCTAGCTAGCTAGCTTCCTAGGCCCTAATACCTAAATCCAGAGATGGATGTGATGGTGGCAACAAGAGCAGCAGTACCTACAAATCCTCTGTTCTGAGTCAGTGGTCACTTAAGGGCCCCCAAACAGGATCAATGATGGAGGGCAAAATAATGGGATTCACTGAGCTATCTGCTAGATGCTATCAAAGATACAGAAATAAGAAAACTTTGACTTGAGATCTTCCAATTAGAGCATATAGGTAAAGTGAAAATAGTGGTCTCTTGTGTAATCCATTCCAGAGTTAGGCTTAAGTAGACCCTAACAGGAACAAGATTATCGTACTGGTTCTCCATCCTGGTTGAACATTGTATAGACCTAAGCAAATTTACAAACTACTGCTGCCTGTGTCTCACTCCCAGCAATTCTTACTGAATTGTTCAGGGCTGTGACCTGAATGTCAGCATTTCTTAAAGTTTCCCAGACAATTCTGATATGCAGCAAAGATTGGGAATCACTAAGGGGCTTTCTGGAAAAGAGAGATGTTATCCAGTCACAGACAATCATCAAAGGCTTCCCAGAGGAAATGGTGTTTTGGATGGAATGTTGGGGAAAAACACTTGAGGGACAAGGAAAAGAGGAACAAGCTGTGGTGTTTATGGAAGTGGAACCTTAGGGCCTGAGGGTGGTATTAGGTTTGCTGGGGCCATAAGGAACACATGGGATAAAAAGTAATTAGAAGGTGACAGAAATGGTGCTGTCATTTGTGATCTAATTCTCATTCCCCAGCTATAGTTATATGATTTGCAGATACCACTGTCCAGCTAGAAAAGCACTAACTTGAAAAACCTTTGAATCATTAAGTTGTAAATCCCCATCAAATGCAGCACATTTGGGAGCCAGAGCTGCCTGAACAAAAGGAGAGAAAAAAATATCTGCTCCCTTATAGCCTCTGTGGCCTTGAACATTATTCACCAAAGCACTCCAATTATACCCTTTTCATAACAATAATACTGAGAGTAACTGTATCAGAATTTGGCCCAACTCTGGCTGGTCAACCTTGGCTACAGGCCTCCAAGCACACTTCTTTTTTAGGTGAAACCTTCCACCAAGAACTACCCCTGTTTCCAACTCTCCTCACCAGATGTAAATGAAGAGATGGCTATTGCTGCAGTCAGGGATTACCAACTCAGTCAGTGCAGGTGGCCTCCCTAGACGACCTGCAGACCTTCTGTTCTATTCTCTATTTAGAAAGGACACCCTCCTGACAGCCATCTTAGTCACAAAACAGATGTCCAGAGAATTGCTTCTCAAACTTCACTGGACATTTGAATGTGCTGAGGGTCTCTTTAAAACGCAGATGCAGATTCTGAAGGTCTGTGGTGGGACCTGAGGTCCTTCATTTCTAGCCAATTCCACGGGTCTGCTGACAACTTCAGAGATAAAGTAGCAAAACCATTTGATTTTGTCATGTAATATTCACTGTGGTTTTTACAAAAATCCTTATATGTAATGTTTCCCCGAAAATAAGACATCCTCTGAAAATAAGACCTAGTGCATGGAAAGATAAGACATCCCCTGAAAATAAGACCTAGCGCAACTTTGGGAGAAAAAATTAATATAAGACACTGTCTTATTTTTGGTGAAACAGGGCATATATATATATATATATATATATATATATATATATATATATATTGTTTCTTACAATTGTGACATCACACTTCATAAAATTGGTCAATAAATCAAAAGTTGTTCATTGGAACAAAAAAGATAGAGATGGAAATATCGATAGTACTGCAAATACTGTAATTTCAAGTAATGCACTTTTAGGCAGAAAACCAGGTTCTGATGAGAACATGGGGTGTAGTTCTGATAGCCAGGCAGGTGAGTCCACAGGGATGACAATCACAGGAAGGGAAAGTATCTGAAATTCCGCCATCACCAGTACACCCCTCTCAGGACATCATCTGTTAGAAAATGTGTCAGAGGAGTGCATCACACTTTACCTTAATCTCCAGAGTGAGGAGGGGATCTTCTTTTACCTTTTGTGATAAGACATTTGATTTTTTTTTTCTAGTATAGTACAAAATAACACTTTTCAGTACAAAATTGTCAAATTCAGCCCAAAATTGGAAAGGAGTCATAATTATGCCACAGAAACATCATTCAGAGTTGCATCTCTAATAGCAAAAATGGGCCAAATTCTACTGCTGACAAAGCTTTAAGTCAATCTAATTATAAATGTCATGTCTAGAGGAGAAACAAGAGTGAGCTTCAGGACATGGTTC